CCTGTCTAAAACCACTTCTTTTCTTAATAACCTTTGAACCAATCCCATTAACTTGGACCGAGAACAAAGGGTTAATAACACACTCCATCAAAAGGTTAGAAAATTTCAATGGGAAACCATAATAATCCAAAACTTGCCTAAGAGAATCCCAAGCCATGTTATCATATGCTTGTTCCATGTACACTTTAATTGCATCCAAACTTTTTTTAGATTTAGAAATTCTAAATTTATAAAAAATTTCTTGGGCAAGAAGAGATCCGATGAAGTCCTCCCTTTGATAAAAGCTACTAGAACATCAGAAACCAAACAATGAATAACCTTTAATAATATATTCAAAAGAACCTTGGCAACAATCTTATAAATAGACATGCAAAGACTAATAGGATGAAAGTTGGAAGGAACTAAAGGATTACTGATTTTAGGAATAAGAATTATAAGAGTCTCCTTCCACTTAGAGCACATCTTACCCGAAGATAAGAAGGGAAGAATAGCATTCCAAACATCTTTTTTAATCATCTTCCAAAAACCTTTGATGAATGAATAAGAAATACCATCAAAACCATGAGAAATATTCCTGCCAAGATTTTTAACCACAAACTCCACTTCTTCAAACAAGAAATCAACATTAAAAATATCACAATCCCCTTGACTTAATAAGTTCGGATTAGATGGCCAACCCCTCAAAATAATCTCTACATCTCCACTTGTTTCTAAAGAAGGTTAAAAAGATATCCTTGATAGCCACCGAATCCTCCACAAGAGTGCCATCACCATTCTTCACTTGATTGATAAATTTACCATTCCTTCTTCCATTAGTAGAAGTATGAAAAAAGTTTGAATTTGTGTCGCCTTCACCTGCCCATCTTGCCTTTACTCTTTTTCTCCACCAAGTATTCAATCGGGTAAGCGTGTTGTTCAAATCATTTATCTTAGACCTAAGTAATAGAAGCTTAACCTCTGAAAAACTCAGACTAGTCGATTCCTCCAACTAATGTTCTTCAATTTCCCTCTTAAGCTTTTCCTTCAGATCAACCAAATTCTGATGTTTAGATTTGCTCAAAAAATGCAAGGATTTCATAACCCTGAAAATTTTTTTATTAAAGACTTACATAACATCACCACAAGCCAGCTTATTCCATGATTTACTCACCACCGTAGCTGCAGCCAGATAAGATAACCATACATCTTCAAATCTAAGAAATTTATTGCTACAATAACTTTGGTTGAAATTTTTCAAAACAATAGGGCAATGGTCAGAAGCAACCCTAGCCAAGTGCCTAACCGAAGCTTGATGAACCATTTCTAATGCCTTGTAATTCAATAAACATCTATCAAGTCTTTCAAGAATACGAGCGTTACCATTTTTATTGTTGCACCAAGTATACTTTGGTCCAAGAATCGCAACATAAAGGGGGAAGGACCCCTCTCCTTTTCTTATTCAAATTCACCTTATTTTTCCTAGAAGATGGGTTCAAATGTCCAAGAGACCTAACCTCCTTAAGAAGTTTGGGTTTATACACACCACACAACATTACCCAAACCACCAAAACCTTCATCCTTGGTATCCATAGTAACTTCTTTATTGAAAACTGTCAAAGAAGGCTCCTTTGGCTTTTTGATTAAAGCCTCAGAATCCACCAATTCACCTTATTCTACATCAATTCTAACAGAATCACCAGCTCTATCCAAATTCTTCTCCTCCCCACACAAGACATTCAATAATTCAAAGCAGTTACCTTTATTGGAATTTGACTTTGGAGAAGAGTACAGTTATTTACCAGTAACTAAAGATAAATCCTCCTGAGTAGAAACCTCCATAGATATCTTCCATTTTTCACTATTCTCCTTGCAGATTTGATTAACATCATCTTGAACCTCTATCCCATTCAAAAGCAATTCCGTCCCCATAGTATTTTGAGCTTTGTCCATTTTAGAAGACAAAACTTCATGTACACGAGCTTTAAAGGCAGCTTTAGGTATAAAACCTTTCTTCAAAGATCCCACATTCCTTCTCTTATTTCTTTTGTTATTAACCAGTATCCAAGGCCCATAAGCAGACTCCTTCTTGATAACCTTTGGTTGAGCTTCATCAACATATTTACCATGGACAGGTGCCTTTTTCGTACCATCATTACCTCCTTCCATCACATTCAAACTGCAAGCATCAATCAAATGCCCAATCCTTCCACATTTGAAACAAAAGGATGAGATTTTTTCATACTCCACCTTTTGAAAGAATCTTCCATTCACTCCATCCACCCCAAACTCCTAGTGGAAGTTGTTTATCAAGCTCAACTCGGACGCAGATTCTAGCAAATTCCCTTCTTCCCTATTGGAACATATAGCCATCTATCAAAAGAGGTATTCCAAATAGAGAAGCTATTCTCGACACATTAATCTCATCCTAGCAATAAAGTGGAAGGTTGGGCATCCTAATCTAGAAAGGAGAAGACAACCCCTTTATAGAATCAGGAGAGAAATTAAGATTCCACTTATCAAGTCCAACGATATGACCGTTCACAAACCAAGGCCCACCAGATAAGACGTTTTCCATAGATTCATTAGTAAAAAAAGAACATAACACCCATCCTGAGCCAAGAAAAGTCAAATGGAACTTCCCAAATTGCGACCATTGGCATCTCAATTCTTCTGCAATAACTTGTATAGGGATATATCTACCGAAGACCTTCACAACAACAGAGTACTGAAGCTTCTTCAAATTGGGTTTAACATTAGGTTCATACAACTTAACTGCAGAACCATCCTCCGAGAGAACAGACTCATTTTCCAACATATTAACCTTAATATAAGGTCGCTTAGACCAAGGATTGCCAGGACGATGATCATTCATTTCTTGAACATCGATTTGAATTCCCTCTGAAGCATCAAGACCTTGACCATTCTCTAAAGCAATATCACAAACAGTTGGTGGATCATCACATTTACTTTGAACAGACGGAACTCCCTCCGATATGGAAATAGACTTAGAAATTGGCAAACCTATTAACGAAGAGCTTCATATTTTAAGAAGATGGCTCAAAATTTTTTATTTTTGAAACGCCAAGCGGAGTATTAGCCTTGAACTCTTCCACAATTTGCTTGCCTTTACCAATAACTGGTGGAGAGGATTTAACTTCAACACCACTTGATTCTCTGATAACTAGAGGTGCATTACAACGATTTAACTTCGGAGAAATCACAGATTGAGGTGAGACAGCTGGACCAGAAATGCCATGAGAGGCAAGCGACCAACAATTAGTAGGGTTCCGGCCACCAGAGTTGGCCAGTGGCCGGTCTTCCATCTCTAGCAGAAAACTCGCCAACAGATAGACGAAGAAAAATTTGAAAAAAAAAACTAAATAAAAAACTGGGAGCTTCTCTCTCTAGCGTTCTCTCTAGAACGCAGTTCAAGTGTCTTCCATAGAGAAAGTTATATTGTGAAAATTTAACATATATAAAGTTATTCTCATTTTTGCACTACAAACTTAAAGTTTTAATAAAGAAAATTTCAAAATTTTAATATTGTTAAAAAAACCGAGATAAATAGAGTGTAACTTACATTAATTTGGATAACTTCCTGATAGTAGAGACAGATCGAAGCCACCCAAAGCTAACTTTCTATCTCTAAAATCTTTCCTCTCTCTAGATCAAAACTCAGTTGGGGGGACTTTTGACAAATGAGGATTTTAAGTGAATAACTTATTATTTAAAAGATCATACAATTTTTTGTATGGAAGTTTCAAATTTTATTTTTATAAATTATATATTTTTATTTTAAATGAATTGTATAAATATATATATATATATATATATAGCCACTTTCGTTTAGATTGCAAAGATTGTAAAGTTATTCCGAGTGAAAATTTATGTACCCAACATCGTTTATTAGTTTTGGACTTTAAGATAAAGGGGCATAAAATAAAAAATAAAGTAAAACAATTTTCTAGGATTAAATGGGGGCATTTAAAGAATATTAACAAAAAATATTTTTGAAAATAAGCAAATTCATAAACATCGTTGCCAGCTCCGCTTGCATCGGCATACCTGCAAAACTCATAAATGTTAATTGAGCTAAAAAACTTGTTTATGACATTCACATCATCACATGGTAGTAGTGCAAACAATATATGCAGTATAAATTCGCAAGTTGAGCTTTGTTTTTTTATGCAGCTAGATTGCTTAACACGAACATATTTTAACTACGCTTATAAGAAGCTTTGTTATAAAAATTGGTTTAATTTTAAAAATTCTGATAATTGGGAAATATATAAAGTGGCTCGTAAGGATGCTAAGAAAGCAATATGCGATGCAAAGGCATTAGCTTTTAGTGATTTATATAATAGATTAGATACTAAAGAGGGAGAAAGATATATGTATAAGTTAGCCAAACAAAGAGATAGGAGTAGTAAGGATTTAGTTCAAGTGAAGTGTATTAAAGATGAAGATCAAAAAATACTTTTCTTAGAAGATGATATTCAACAAAGATGGATGAGATATTTTGCTAAACTTTTTAATGATGATTGTGAAAATAAGATTGACTATAGTGACCTTAGCACCCTAGTCGCCTTAGATGGTTTGTTCACATAAAACGGCGGCCTTCCGATGACCCGGTTAGGAGAGTAGACGTATTAGATTTTACTTGTGTTAGGAAAGGTAGGGGTAGACCTAAAAAGACTTGGTTAGAAAATATTAGGAATGACCTTTCTTTATTAGATTTAAACGAGAATTTGACTTTTAATAGGACACAATGGAGAAAAAAGATTCATGTAACCGACCCCACGTAGTGGGATAAAGGCTTGATGTTGTTGTTGTTGTATAGCCACTTTCGTAGGCCCACTTAAAAATCAAATTTCCTTAGCACAGTAGCCCACTTAAACTGGAGTAATTATTACGTCCGTTCACCGAATGTGTTCATAAATCAATAACCACTCGCCATGTCATGTGAAATTCGATATTGAGAACTTGGTGTTGCCCGATTTTCATTTTGATAGGACTTAATAATTGCTCCTCAAACTGATATTCCGTTTAGGTTTACTAAATATTTCGCTGCCATTCTCAATGCTCAGGACGCTCCGGCATCTTTTTTCTTCGTGCCAACGCCCTCGTCGCCAATTTCTAGAGATATGGAATCCTCTGGGACACTTATGTACAGCATCGGCCATGGAGAAACGAGGATCGCTGGAGCTGGAAGAGGTGCAAAAGGTCCTCTGCGACGTCAAGGCAGACGATGTGAGGGTGATACACGTGGGCGACCAATGCGACTGGACTGATCACATAGTCATCGCCACCGGTAGATCCACCTGGCACGTCAAGAACATCGCTCAAGCTCTTCTCCACAAGGTAGGTTTGTCTCCCCCATTTCTTCAATTGTTCAACCTTGGAGGTTGCAACATAGCAGTTATTGCAGTATAACGAAGACGAATGGTTTGTATGTTGATTTATGTCGTTTCTATATGCTCAGACCGTTTCCTTTTATTCCATTGGTAGTTGCACTAATCTAAGTTGGCTAACATGTATAAAAATCATGGACGAATAATTGCGGATGGGAGGATAAGAGTTAAGCTAGAGGGGGATATTGAAAGTGAACAATGGAGAATGCAGGTGCTATAGAAGTGTTTTATGATGTGAGTATGTTTTTGGGTCATTAGGTTTCAGCCTGTAATGGTTAGGAAACTGCCATGTTTTCCTTTAATAATTTTACTTACAGCTATAGGTTTCCCACCTATCCCATTTGGCTGAAAACGTACTGCCCAAATGCGGTTAGTTTGGAGCACGAGGCATCATGCACAGGCTGTCACCCTGGATGAAGTTGTAGCCCCTCCAATCATAATCATTAGCTTTGCCCCAATTATTTCTGGTCAATTTGATAAATTCTTCTCCTCCTTTTATTTATAGTGGGCAAGTAATTTGTTAAACACAGCTAACTCAAGTTGTTTTTACTATGTATAACCAATATATCCTTGTTCTTCACTAGTCCATATGCATTTATCTAATTCTATATCTTCTTCTTATATGCATATATTCCATCCTCTAATATGTATGCTCAAACAACTCCCAAGATTTTTTGTGCAAATTTATTACGGGTGCTATACCACAATATCTCTAAATCAATGATTTCCGCTTTATGGGCTGTTATTTCCTTTGTTCCAAATCTACCCAAAGTTGTGATTAATCTCCTCTTTCTAAGAGAGTTATCATCTTAACCTCATTATCACAATCGTCTTTATCGAAAATACTCAAGCTATTAGGGTTGGATTTTTAATCCATGATAGATGTTAGTTTATTGTTATATGATTATTTATAGCTCAAATATACTTGTAATTGTGTGTTTGATGTGCCTTCCAAGAGCATCTATGATAGGAATCACCTCCAACCAACTAGCTTTATTAATCAAAAGGGTAGGAATACGAACTCGATCAGTCTAGGAAAGGTAGAGATGTATTGAAATGTTGGAATGAAAAGCAAGAGACCAGTTTATTATGATCAACCATCAAAAGCCAATCAAGTGTGTGGATCTCTTTTGAAGATCTTTCTTTGTTATGAACATTGTTTTGTAGATTCTTTCAAATATAGGAATTATGTGTCTTCTTAACCTTTTCTAAATAATTTGTCCCTTATTTTCCTTGATTTTTAATTAGACTTCTGGCACATATCTAGTAATGTGAAAGCCCTTCTAAGTCATTGTTATTTGTTTGAAGACCATTTTCCCTTTGTCATTTCAATGAAACTTGATCTTTTAATTGGATTATGCCTCAATTTCTTATCCTATTTGTGTTAGTTATACATTGTACAAGCAATAAAAAAGATTTGAAATTGAGAATATTTTGAAATTTAGTGATATGCATTACTTCTATGGTTATAAATGCATTTAATTGAAAATCTTAGGATATCTTGTGCATATAAACCATAAATTCACATACATATTACAATTTTAAAGTTAAATTTTGTCATAGAATAAGTTATGGTCCCACTATCATGTATAAAAGATGCCATGGATAAGATATTGCTTGTTAACATATATATATATATATTCGTATTAATCTTAAATTTTCTTAAGATCAGATGCTTTGATAAAAACTATTTAAAAAATTGCTTGTGTGTGTCTCAGAATATTTACGATCATAGAGAGATAAATAGTTTAATATCCTAGTTTTGTATGAAGGTTTAACATACACATAACTAAAGAGAGTAGTGTAGGAGTTATAAGTGACACTATATTTTTTATGTTGAAAACCCTGAAAAGTAAAATCCATGGGGCTTGGCCCAATTAAAATGATTTTACTAGTGTTTGTATTTAATTACAAATGAAGCCCTTCCCTTAGGGAAGACATTGCTACATTCTAAAGAATGTTATTGATGGTTGAGGTTGGAAGAACTATTTGATAGGAACATGGCATAAATTCAGGTGCTGAAGTTTGTTGTTAGAGTTGATATCGATGGTATGCATTGATTTTATAAGTGACGGTGTGTTGGCATTATTAGTGATGGTAGGTGATGAAGCCAATAAGCATGGAGTAGCCATGCAAGAATAATCGGAATATTGTTGGTTGGCGAGCCATAGCTAGGCTATTGAGGTCGGAGGAGCGTAATCAGGCTACGAAGGTTGGAGGATTGTAGTAGGGCACTGAAGGATTGTAGTGGGGCATCGGAGGACTGGAGGATTATAGTTGGGCATCAGAGGATTGTGGTTGGGCGATGGAGGCCAGAAGGATTATATTCAGGTGGTAATAGTTAGAGGGTAATAATTGTGCGACAATAGTCGTCTGGTGATGAAGGATGGTAGACCATAATCAACGGGTGATGGAGATCGGAGGACTGTATTTCACAATGGAGATAGGAGGATGGTAGACCATAATTGGTCGACAATGGAGATAGGAGGATTGTATTTTATAAGTAATGGAGGTTGGAGAACTGTAGTCGGCGGCAACGATGATCCAAAGACCTATAGGTGATCGAGGTTGGATTGTAGTTGGGCGAAGGTGGTTGGAGGACTGTAGCCGAGTGACGATGGTTTGAGGACCATAGTCGGTAGGCAAAAAAGATTAAAAGAACCAATAATTGGCGGTGTGATGGAGGTTAGAAGGATTGTAGCCATATGGGCGATGAAGGATGGTAGATCATTGTCAACAGGTGGTCAGAGGAACATAGTTGTTGGTGATTAAGGTCAGAAGGACTATAATTAAGTGAATGTGGTTAGTGGACCATAGTGGCGTGATGATGGTCCAAGAACCATTATCGTTTGGTGATGGAGGTCCAAGGAATTGTAGTTGGTGGCGTGATGAAGGTTAGAAGGACATTATCAAGCAACAGTGGTTGAAAGATAATAGCCGAATGATGGAGGTTTGAGATCGTAGTCGACGAATGATGGTGGTTAGAGAACTATTATCATCGAGCGATAAAGGTTGGAAGTACTGTAGTTAAACAATGGTTGGTGGAGGAGCATGGTTGGGCGATAGTGGTTCAAGGATTGTAATAAGGTGATGGCAGTCATTCTACTGTACTCGGTGGGGGACAGTAGCCTAAGGGCTAGGAGCGTAGTTGGGTGATGGTGGTCTAAGGGCTGTAGTCAAGTGACGATGCTTAGGTGAAAGTTTAAGGGCGTGGCTAGGCGGCAATTGTTGGGCTTCAAAAGTTCGGCGGTAGCGGTTGAGCGGTGAAGATCGAGCAGTGTTAGCCAAGAGGAGGTCCAACCACGATGACCTTGCAAAGATCTAGTGGCAATAGCCAAGTGGCAGTCGAGCGGAGGTTTGAAAATGATGGTCAACCAACAAAGATTAAAATGTGGTGGCAATGCAAGGGTACGATGGAGAAAATCAAGGTGGAGGTCTAGTGTGGGTAACTGGGCAGCAAAAGTCTGAGTACAGCCGACTGTTGAGGGTTTGCTGGCGGTGGTATTCGAGTGAAACTTTTGGATGCTTCAAGCCGTAGAACTTTCTCGAGTCTCTCACCCAATGTTCTAAGCCCCTACCTTATGCAGAGAGTAGGGGTCTATTTATAAATTTTTGGAGAAGCATGCCTCGTAAATATGGCGAAATTCGGAGTACTCCATCGGACACCCTATTTTGATTCCCTTAATCATGAATCATTGGTTCAACATTCAAGTGCCTTAATGATTTCTGAATTAAGCAATTTTGGGCTTGTTGGATTCATTTCGTCGAATCGCTCTATTTGACTATACGCATGTCAAATTTGTAGATCATTTGGTTATAAATGAATGTCCTGAATTACACTTATGGCTCTTGATTTGAGCTCTAATTTAGCCATTGTTGGTGTCGTTGGGTTTATCTTATCAAGCGTTTAGTTCAAATAGAAATTTGATGAAATCGAATTTCAGATGACTTTGAATTTAATTTTAAAAGTTTTCCATATAAAAATGTCTTGAGATTCATGCCCGATCTAGGCGATTTTTTGATGACGTATCAGTTGTTCTCCTATTTTTGGACGTCAAAGCTCGTGGAGTCTGAAAATTGATTAAACCCTAAAAAAAGGTCGTGATGTAAAATTATAATTTCAGAAAAATTAAAAGGTATGATTGCTCTTTGGATTTAATGTGGAACTCATTTTAAGGTTATGAAGCAAGTAATTTTTTTTAAATTATAATTTCAACATTTCATGATGTTTGGGCATCAACCAGAGAAAAAAATATAAAAATATTTATTGTTTGAAATTGAATGTAGAGGCTTTGTTGGGTTCCAAACAAGTTAAAATTGAATACATATCATCGAATAATGGCCCAAAGACTCAAAAAAGATATGAATTGGGCTGTTTGGTCTAAAAAAAGGGGCCCAAATGAGACTTTGTAGTGGAACCGGTTGGCTAGCTGCCAGCAATGCTGCTGTGGGCTTCCTGCACGCATCGTGTGTGCGTATAGATGTGTATTTAATTTTTTTAATTCTTTCTATTTTTATTTATCTAAAAAGGGAAAAATTAAATTTTACTCCAAAAGATTCTGAAGGAGGTTTGGAAAGTTTTTTTAAATAATAATAATAGTATGTATGTATGTATTATTATTATTATTATTATTTTAATTAAATATTGTACCTTTTTTTCAATAAAGAGAAATTTGGAATTTTTTATTTAGAAAATTCAAAAAAGTTTGAAAACATTAAAAAATTAGAGAGAAATTTCCAAATTTACCTTTCCTCTGATCATTAAATACAACTCCCTATGCCCATTACATGACAATGATGCTTGACTATTGAGAGCATTGTCGTATCTTCTCTCGATGCTTAACATGACATCGATGACCGACTCTCGACATCCAAATATAAATCAAATTAAGCACAAATCCTAATTAAATTACTTCTTATTAGTCAATAATATTATGTTTATTCAATTTT